GGGCGGGGGCGGGGGGCTGCCGCCGCTGATGGGGAAGGTCGAGCCGCGGACGGTCTGGATCCAGGCGGCGGTCGCGTCGGGGAACTCCCATACCTGTGAGCGATAGTCAGCTCCGGTAGACGTTATGAGAGTATGACGATGAGCGTACCATGACACCGCCGTTCCAGCCCTTGCCAGCGGCAGTAGCGACGCAGGTAGCCAGCGTAGAAGGAGCCATGTAGCCGCCGCTCGGGGCATCAGCCGCCGTGGCGGGCTTACCGATGACGAGCTTGCTGAGGGGAACACCGTTCGCGGAGATCTCGAAGATGGAAGAGCCGGGGTACTGTCCACCAGAAGCGGTGAGGAGGCCGGTGCAGTCGGTGTACTCAGATTGACCCTCTGCAGCAAATTGATCGGGTCAGCGGGCCGAGAACTCACGAGATGGCGTGGATGTCACGTACGGTTGTAGAACTGGATGTTGTACCAGTCGATCATAGAGCCGACGGACTGATGGACTGCGAGGTAGCCTCCGCCGGCGTAGCCAGCCTTGAACCAGGGAGCGACGGGAGCGTGCGTGATGATGTACTGGCCGGCGGGGAGCTGGGAGCGGAGCTGCTTCGTGAAGGAGATGAGCCAGTTGACACCCGTGCCGCCGTTGAACGCGGTGAAGTCCTCGTAGTCGACCTGCGCATCTGAATGAGACCATGTAGACGGTAATAGTAATGAAACTCTATTCACATCGACACCATCAAGGCCGTACTGCTTGACCCATGCGGCGAGACTGTTCGCCGTCGCCACAGGATCGGCGCCGTTGGTCGTCGGAGTGTCGGTCTGGCCGAAGGCACTATTGAAGGCCAGTACTGAGAATGACAGGCGCGAGGTATAGAGATGTTGTGAACATACCTGACCATGATCTTGATACCAGCCGCAGCGTACGCGGCCTTGACCGAGGCGCGCTGGTCCGCCGAGATCAGCGTCCATTCTGAAGCCTGGTCGGCAACACGGTTCGTGAGCCAAAAGCCCATGATGTAGGTGTTGTATCCCTAAGTCAAGGATGTGGTCATGAGAAACGGAGATGACTGAAGTGAGGATGTCGAGCACTGTACCTTCAACTGGGAGACGTCCGGAGGTCCATTCTCCCCATTGATCCAGGCGTCGGTGTACACGACGAAGTGAGGAGCAGCAGGAGTGGCGGCGGTAGCACGCGTGCTGAGGTCGGCCGCACCGGTGGGCAAGGCACTTGAGCTGCTGAAGAAGCAAGCAGCGGCGACGAGAGCGGCGTATGTCTTAGCGAGGAAGGAAACCATGTCGAAGAGGACTTGTAGACCAGTAGGCAGAAGACCGAGGAAGCTTGGGATGTCCGAGCTGAAGAGTAGAGAGCTCGGAGAAGAGGGTTTATATAGGTCGTATTGTGATGTAGGCTCTCGCTGTGAGCAAGGTGAAGTACGGACTCGGAGCCCATGCGGAGGTCAACACCCATTCCGTATGCGCCGTACGCGGCGGGTCAACTCATCCGAGTGCTAGGCGGCGGTGGACCGGCCATTGTCTGTCAGCAACTGTTCAAGCTGTTGAGCCCGTACGCTGGCGAAGCACGGATCGTGCAGCCCGACGAGGAAACAGCGAGCAGGGACCACCCGAAGCATCGAGTCTCGCTGACAGACGCCCGCGGCGCTTGCCGCGGCGCCTGGCTAAGATTCCAGCAGGCGCCTTGCACTTTCAAATCGGGTAATGATAGACCCCAGAGCGTGAAGTATGAGAAGGACACACAAAGGAAGCACGCGTTCGAGAGCCTCAGACAATATTGCGCGACCTCTTGGCACGCCGGTACGTTTGCGGAACAGGCCGGACCTCCTTCTCGAGCATCGGCGAAACGTGTATAGCAGTTGGTGTAGGAGATGCTGCTTCTATATCCGTACAGGGCGACATGAGGCTCCCTGCGATGCTCAAAGCTATCCATGTGGGTGAAGGATCAGAGGGTTTATCCGTCTGGTGAGGCGGAATAAGGACGGGACAGATGTCAACTAATGCCCATGCGGACGCATAGTTCAACTAGCCAAAGGGTCAGAAGCAGGCTGACAGGAAGTCGAGGTCTGTGGTTTGTGCATCTGGAGGGTGAGCTTTTGGTAAGCCATAGCCGAAGCAGTACATGTCCAGTTCTGGACAAGATGGAGGGCAAAGGCAAAGAACATGGACATGGCAAACCGCAATAAACGTGGGAAGATTGTGATGCCCGCTCCGGAGCGGCCCGGACGGGGGATGGCTTGAACCAAGACGTGATGGACGACGACGATGAGAGCGTCCCGCGCGATGGCAAGCCTGACATGACTGGACTAGAGCCTATGCTGCTCATCGCGAAAGTGCTTTCATGGCCTTCGAACATCACAGAACTGGAGAGTACCGGAGCGACAGCCCAAGGAGAAGATCCCGTTTCTCAGCCTAGCTAATATTCTACAGTCTACGATGGCTTTCTCAGCTTCCAAGTATGTATGGTGCGCGAACAGCCTTATCGCACGCTTCAGTTCGAGAGAATCTAAGCAAACTCGAGGGCTCGATCTTCGACTAAAGTGGCGCTGCGAGGGTGGTGCAAGTGAACTGTACAAACGCCATTTCCAAATCGCGCCGGAGAACTCTACGCTACTCTACGGGCAGCTTATGCAGAGCATGCACGGCGCTCATGAATGTCCTCACGGCCCGACCGGTCCTCCCTTCAGCTCTACATCAGAACGGCAGTGACACTTGTCTTGTGTGTACTATGTCTTCCATGAGGACCGCCGCGCGGTATCTTTATAAGCTCGGCTTTCCTACCGAGCGTCGAGCCAACCTTGAGCTGTGCCTCTGGCATCTGCCTGCTCGTCGTTGTCGTGACGGTTCTCCGGAAGCATGCTCTATACGACGACGTCAAACGCCCGCTGTCGTCGAGAGCCCGAGACTGCTTCTTATCTCGTTGCGCTGGTAGAGACGACGCATGCGAGCACTCATACACACCACAACACTGGACCCACACCGCTGAAGTACGTGCCTTCGTTTCTTTATCTTGCCCTTACTGACGATGACTGTTATGACCAGCTACGTATACTCGTTACCGCCGGCTTCTTCGATTACCCCGCCCCGATGCACGCCATCAATGAAGATCGAGGTCGCTATACCGCTACATGTGAGGCCAAACGCCAAGGACGAGGCCTGCGGCATAAAGCACCTAAAGAGGCAGCCCGGTGTGCCTTTTGAATGAGTACGCTGATCCGAGGAAAGTCGATGAAATGGGCTATCCTGATGCGTTGTGTGCAGAGCCGGTTTGCCAACGCGATTGATTGTGCATTCTGGGTTCATAGCCGAAAGCCCTGGAGCGATCTCAGAAGCTAGTCACGATGACCCACTCCGGTCGAGGATCGTGAATCTCCAGTGTCCTGCTATGAGAGGGCAACTTCAGGCAGGCGAGGACGATCCCCATCCTCAAACGCGAACCTCTATGCCTGATGTGCGGGGTCAGCGTAATCTCATGCCACGGCCCCTACGCAATAACGGAGAGCTGATGGTTCTCCCTGCACACCATCGTGCTGAAGATCCGCCACCCGCATGCCTGACAACGCTTCTGGATCGTAGCCGTGCCTCGTCTTCAGACGCAGCGCATGACGACTCAGCAGATACTTGCTCAGCCGAGGTATAAGAGCAGGTGTATCCGAGAGGCATCGCTCAGGGCTAGGTCTCACTCGGTCTACATCTCTCTACCGGCATGCGTTTCTTTGCCCTCGCCACTGCTGTATCGCTCGCCGCCGTTGCGCGTGCTGACGTTACGAGTGCGTTCTACTCCATAAGCTCTCCTACTCGCAACTCATGATCTCGTAGCCATCTTTGAGACGTACGGCGAGTGCCAGAGCGACGTCATTACGACCGTCCCGCTCACCGTCGCGGCTACGACTACGACTGTCACGACCACGCTCCCATTGACGACCACCGTGAGCGTGTACCCGGGCGTAAATAAGGCTCGGGAGGTCTTCCAGCCCGAGATCACCCCCTTCCCCAAGCGTGGCTCTGAGCTAGAGCAGCGCGACCTCACGGAGATCCACTCTTGGGTATGCACTGGCACCTTTACCGAGGTCAGGATACCACATCTCTTTCAGCGGGCGTGAGCTAAAACTGACTGGATGCATCGTAGACGCACTACTACTACTCGGAAGTCACGACGCCTGGCACAGCCACGACGACTGCTACCGCTTTCGAGTCGACTAGCACGTACACCTTATGCATCCCCGGCCACATCTGCGTCGGGTGATTGTAGCGCTTCCGTCGAGCGAACATGCGTCAGTATGTAGCAGTGTACAGAAGAGGAAATAGCACGGCCGAGGTCGCAAGCCTGGTCGAAGTTGTATAACCGTTCGGACGCTCGGTCCGATCAACGTGGGAATTTGCGTATTTGAAGGGAAATATACGCAAAGCGATACAAGAGGGATGGCTACGGCCTTGAAATGTCCTCTATAGCATGAGCCACACGAAGAACCATCTCCTCACAACCCCACTGCCCAACGACACTCACGCCAATCGGCCACTGATCCCCCGTGCATGGTGCGGGAACGCTGACAGCGGGAAGACCAGCCAGCGACGCGGGCACTGTGAGTACGTCCTGCACGTATTCACCGGCGCCGTCCGACTTGATCTCGACTTCGGCTTCAGTGGCGTCCGGGAGGAGGGGCGCTGTTCGTATAGCGGATGGATGAAGGAGTACGTGCACACCATCAGATGGCGATGACGTGGCGTCGATTAAAGGATCCGGTACGCTGAAGACTGAGCGGAAGTCTTCGCGGATGAGGTTTCGTAGGCGTTGAGCTTTCAGGAAGTAGTTGTCGAATGCCCTGAATTCATGTTAGCGGGGAGAGTTTTGAATGCCGGAGCATAGACTCACTCGGCTGATAAGGCGTAAGCACCGAGTAGGATGCGCTTTTGCACTTCGGGGCCGAAACCTGCTGTGCGCGAAAGTGCATATGTATCGGCTACGGTGCCGATCTGATGTGGTTGCGGTGGTACTTGCAGACCTGCGATTGGAAGTCAGCGATGAAATCCTGAGGTTGAAGCGCTCGGTGGCTTACCATACTGAACGCCGTCATAGCGAGCCAAATTCGAACTGGCTTCCGCGCTCGCCAAAACGTAGTACGCGCTCAGAGCATACTTCGTGTTTGGGAGTGATACCGGTACGAGCTCAGCGCCTGCCTCGCGAAGGGCTTTCAGAACGTCGCGTAGACGTTGCTGGACCTCCTCAGAGAGAGATGCAGGGAAGTACTCCTGTGGTACTCCGACGCGCAGACCTGTGAGGTTATCTCCCTTCGCCCAGCTGGACATGTGTTCGTCGCATCCGGTCTTCGCTCTTCGTCGTACTGCGTCAGAAGCGGAGGTCGGGTCCTTGGGGTCGTACTGGGAGATGGTGTCTGTGAATCGGTCAGCGCTGTACCACATAGGTTACGGGAGCATTGTTACCGAATAGTGTGAGTGTAGTTTCGACATCCTTCCCCAGGATGCCTACGCAGTCGAGACTGTCCGCGTATGAGATTACGCCCCATCTATCGGGTAAGTCAGAACGCGTCTCGTCAGACAAAAGCGGTGAAGCTTACCGACTTAGCATCCCATAGGACGGCTTCAGACCGACAACACCGCAGTATGAGGCGGGAAGCCGTACAGAACCACCTGTATCAGTTCCTAGTGCTGCATCGCACAGTCCAGCGGCAACAGCTGCAGCGCTCCCTCCAGAGCTTCCGCCTGCAGCATGCCGTGGCGCATCGGCTACCGCGGAGTTGAACGGGTTCGTAACAGGTCCGAACGCGCTGTGAGCATTCAGAGAACTAAGACGCATCAGTATCGTAAGACTAGAGACGCCATATGCATATGGCTTACCCCATGCCAAATTCGTCCAGATTGGTCTTCCCGGCAAGGTGAGCTCCTTCCCTTCTCAGGATGTCCACGACCGTCGCGTCGAAAGGCGGGGTATAGTCTACACTGGCAGAATGAGTGGGGTGTGCAAAGTCATAAGGCAATGAGCTACATACCACGCAGCATATTCGAAGCGCAGGTAGTAGGCATATCTTTGGTACTGATGTTGTCTTTGACAGCAACAGGGATACCAGCTAGACGCCCAGAAGCCGAGCCAGCGGGCGCCAAATCCTGCGCTAATGTGATGAAAGCATTTAACGGGTCATTTCGGGCAGGAGTGCTCTGCTGTAGACTATTTCCCGCCCTTCGAGACGTGTATATTGTACGTCTGGCCCAAGAGTACGCGAATACCTGCCGTCGGCAGAACATAGGACGCGACGGTGGAAAGCAAGATCGTGACCGCGTCTGGACGCGTCGCGTTGGAACACGCTCTCGCGCGCGTCGAGAATGCGCGCATCAAAAATTGAGACCATGGCTCCTTCCACCACCACCACCATCTCCCTCTCTTCTCGCCCAAGCAAAAAGCTAAAACGCGATGAATCAAAACACATTAAGAAGGCTGATGCGCCCTCGAAACGCTCCGTGAGCTTCGCGGAGAAAGACGGGAAAGGAAAAGGCAAGGAAAAGGCCCGCGCGCCGACCCCGCCGCCTTCGAAAAAGCAGAAGACGGCTGTTACCACCAAAACCAAAACCAAGGCCGTTTCCGAAGATTCCGCCGAAAAGGAAGCGCCGCTGCCGACTTCTTTCAGGATAATTGCAGGGTCGTACGAGAAATTGCTATACGGCTTCGACGGAACACTGTCCCCGACGCCGAGTTCATCAACGTCGGACGCCGATACACCAGAGACGGAATGGTCGCTAAACCCGATGTTCATGTTTCCTGCGCACGTGTCTTCGGTCAAGGCGGTCGCGGCCTCGCCTCAGGGCGGCAAATGGCTCGCGTCTGGGAGTTCGGACGAGATCATCAAGGTCTGGGACTTGCGCAGGAGAAAAGAAGTCGGCGGGCTTATGCACCATCAAGGTATATTCCTTTTTCTCTTTGCTCAAACGCAACGTGCTAATGGTATAATACACAGGCTCAATTACACATCTGCTCTTCCCCTCACGCTCGCATCTCCTCTCCGCATCCGAAGACGGCACCCTCGCACTTTTCCGCGCACGAGATTGGGCAGTACTCCGCACATTGAAGGGCCATACCGGTCGCATCAACTCTGTTGCCGTACATCCGAGCGGAAAGCTCGCACTATCCGTCGGCCGCGATCGTACGCTCCGAATGTGGGATCTGATGCGTGGGAAGGGTAGCGCGAGTACCAAGTTGGGAGTGGAGGGAGAACTCGTGAGGTGGTCGGCGGAGGGAGATATGCTTGTCGTGCAGTATCAGAGGACGGTCGACGTTTATAAGACCGTGAGTCCCACATTTCACTGTGAATCGTCGTTCATGTGCTCATAGTATTCGCAGGACCTCTCAAAAGTGCATACAATCACACATCCGTCTCGGATACAAGACGTCAAGTTCGTAAGCCGACCCGACGGCGCGGGCCAAGTCCTGCTCGTAGCAGCAGAGGACAAGAAGACAACGGCATACGTCGTCGTCCCAGACGCCGACGTTCAACCCCGGATCATCGCATCCTTCATTGGCCACGGAAGCCGCGTCAAAGCCATCGACACTCTTCGCGTCGCGCGCGCAGATGGCACAGCAACAACCGTGCTCGGAAGCGTTTCGTCCGACGGAACAATACACGCGTATGATCTATCGAAGTTGCCTGAACAGGCGACAGTGAATGCGGTGGAGATTGAGCCGTCGGCGAGATACGATACGAACAAGACGAGGTTGACGTGTATTGCGTTGGCGGATGGCGATGCGGAGTCGGGGGCGGATGTTGTGGGGAAGAGGAAACGGGAGGAGGTTGGGGAGGAAGAGTGGGATAGCGAGGTCGAGGAAGAGGCGGAAGATGAGCTGGAGGGAGAAGAAGAGGAAGAGTAGAGGTTGCTGTAAGCTGTTGTGATGTAACACATAGTGTACGTCCACCGTGCTTCATGACGGCGAGGAACACACGCTCATTTCCCATCACAGAGTTCACGTGCTTGGATGTACCTGTCCTTTCATCTATCCCATTGCGCTACCCAATGCACGCTTCCAGATCCGATATAACCCACGATGAGGTTTTGAATCCACTCCTATGGTACGACTGTGCGGCCCAGCGTTTGTACAGTTGCGGTGGATCCCAAATGAGCCGGCGGGACTGCCGCCTTCGCGTGGCGGGAATCCCGTCCTTAGCAGACTCTTCACTCATTCCAGTCTTCCTACTGGTATTCGGCCGTGCGCTTCGAAGGTTAAGCTGCCGTCTACGGCAGACCCGCTCTGACGCTTCGTCATGGGGCGCTGTAACTGTATTGCCGAACGGGAGACAGGTCCTCGGCAGAGCCGTGGCCAGACGGAATATATACTCACAGCACTCTAGGACTTGCACCTATACTTCAACAGTACTGAACCTGCCATACTAGCGTCATGTCGACCCAGACTTCCGTATTCTTCCTTGGTGCTACCGGTACGTCGTTTCATCCATTGCCTGACGACTGGGTCCGATACTGAGGGTCAACTATAGGCTACATCGGCGGCGCAGTCCTTCAGCTCCTACTGGAGGACTCTCGTTACGAAATCACACTTCTCGTCCGCGACCAAGGCAAAGCGAAGATCTTCGAGGAGAAGTTCAACGTACGCACTGTGATCGGAACCTTGGAAGACGAGAAGCTCCTCGAAGAAGAAGCTGCCAAGGCGGACGTCGTCTTCAACATCGTATGTTCCAATCATGATCGTCTTGGCGCCTGTGCTCATACGGTGACAGGCCGCTCTGTGGATCATACCGGGTATCAAAGCCCTCTTAGCCGGATCGAAGATTAGATTCGAAAAGACGGGCGAGAAGCCTATCTTCATCCATACCGTATGTGTACTACACACCGCTCATAACTTCTGCGCTCACTATGCCCTGTGTACAGTCAGGCGCTGCCGCCGTCGCGGGCGAGGACGCACATGGCGAAGACATTCCCGGCAAGACATACGTTGACACAGACGTCGCAACGATGACCAACCTCTCCTCGGAGCACATCCACAACATTGCGGACACGATGGTTCGCCGAGCCGACGTCGAGGGAGGCTATGTGCGCTCCTACATTCTGTACCCGCCCATGGTCTGGGGCGAGCAGCGCGGTATACTCGCCGAAGCCGGCTTGGCCAACGTCCGCCCGCCAGCTATGTCGCTGCCGATTAAGTTCAGCATTGCTCGCGGACAAGGTGGCGTCATCGGTAAAGGCCTGAACAAGTGGTCGCACGTCGAAGTGCACGAGCGTGCGTGGATCATTCTCATACGGTTCGGTTTGCACCGCCACTGATGCGCTCATCTACAGAGGCCGACCTCTACAAACTCGTCCTCGAATCCGCCCTTTCAAACCCTACATTCCCAAGCGGTAACGAAGGCACCTACTTCCCCTCCTCCGGCACCTTCACAATGCTCTCCGCCGCCAAATCCTACACCAAAGCCCTCTTCGCCTCAGGCAAAAGCCGCAGCGCCGACCCCGAACCCTTCACGGACGAAGAACTGGCTCAGTGGGGCCCTGGAGGAATCGTGCGCGTTTTGCTTGGTGCATTCTATACCGGACATACAGTTGATATGAGGTCTTTCCAGTTCGCTAGGTATATGGGGTCGAGTGTGGTTTGTGAAGGGGAGAGGGGACGGGCGTTGGGGTGGAAGCCTGTCCTTGGTACGAGCGCCTTTCTAGCGAGCCTAGGCGTCGAGGTTGAAGCTTCATTGGCGGAACGTTAGCTGCGATATCGACATCGCATGAACTGTAGCGTGGCTTGATGTATACCATCGATTCAGTGCCTCGGATGCAAGGTTGCAATAGCGACTAGCGGTGCTTGCTGTGAGACAGACTTATGGACTTCGGTGCGCTCTTGGTAAACGAAGAGGGGAGTACACTGACAAGTTACGGTATATATACTACAGGTACGCGTTATCTTTACATTCACAGCGTTACCAAGTTCGCGATTCATAGAGCTTAGAGGCTTGTCCCACCGACGCGAAATGTTCAAGCGAGATGAACCTCTTTCACCCATCTATTCCTCCCACTTCCACCCCTCCTAGTCTCATCCCTGTTTCCGTCGTTCGTCCGACCTTGGGTCGGTACACCGAAGTACTCGCACAGTTTGCTAATAGTGCATTCCCCTTCACGATCATCATCAACCTCCAGCACAGAGATCTTGGTGAATCGCAGTCTACTGTCGATGTGACTGACAGCCCTCGAGAAGCCGATGACCCAGTAACGGCAACTCGAGACATCTGGGCTCCCGCCAGCAAAATTGAGGAGCGCGTTGTATGTACCGTCAGGGATAGGGATGGAATGATGAGCAATCATGTTCACGGTCTTTGTATCAATCGTGCCATCATTACTCTTCGAAGAGAAGGTAATCGTGCCTCGGCGGTGATCTTTGGTGGGCGGCGCAGCACACGCAAAACCGCTGACGCGGCAGTCACGGACACGAACGGCTCGACAGAAGTATTCTTCGTCGTTATCGCCATACCGACTTCGTTGATTAGACATTGCAAGCTGGTCTGTCCCCGACGCCCTTTCGTGAGGCAAAAGGGGGCCGTAGTGCCCCGGCAGTCGCAGTGAATCATGTCTGACCCTCGTGAGAGACCGCGCTCCTGCAAGGAGTTGCGGCCATGAAGGCGCCCACTTGAACTGACCGTCACCCGCAGAAGGAAAGAGATAGAACAGGTCTGCGCGGATGGAAGCTGCGACACAATAAATGAAACGCCGCCATGCACTGGACACGATCCTAGCATCATAGAATCCTTGAGCTCCGGGGACCGCCCATCGTATGGCCTTGAAAATCAAATAGAACATCGGAGCAGCCAATTCACTGACTCTCACATACAGTCCGAAGAATCTTCTCAGCTCGAAGAACTCCGCCGCTTGGTAGAAAGCTGGATGTGTCTGCCCACAGAAGAAATAAGCCAGCCCAGCGATCTTATCGACGTCGCCTGTCGCAGAACGGTTGCTCATCTCTGCTATCGCCGGTATAATGTGCCTCATATGTGCCGCCGCGCTGGTCACCTTTACCTTCAACAGGCGCACGAAGTCCGAACTACCTGTGGCAGGCACGCTATTTGGAGGGTCGACATCGGAGAAGGAGAATAGAGGCGATGTCACAGTCCGCCCCCCAACAACAATGACAGACTCGAAGCCAGGGCGATTCGCTTCTTGGAGTGTCCAAGCGCGATTACACCAATGCCGGTGATCATTGAGATCGCTGGACTCGAACGGAAGCCCAAGGCCGTTGAGATATACAACAATGAGCTTGCAGTCGCGATAAATGGCGCCGATGGCTGGCACGTCAACCTCCCACTCTTTAGCACGTTTGTCTGCCTCAGGGGACTTCCCACCCGTCTGACGCAGACACAATACGTCGAGCCAGGCATACCCCATGCCCTCTGACTCTTGATCCAGATTGAGAAGTTCGATGCGGATATCATCCAGACTGATGTCCGGAGGAAGGGGAACGGGCCATTTGTTAGCATTGATGAGGGTCATCCCCACATGACGCCTGCAGGGATCTACCCAAGCGTGCGAAACAGCAAGAATGTTGCAGGGAGCTATTGTGGTTGCCCATGATGGTAAGACTCTGTTGCTGTACAAGTCCCAGATTCGTCGCGGCAAAAGTCTGTTGGGAGCGGGCGCAGGAATGAGGCCTATCCGTCGAGGATGATCAGGAAGTCTACGACACCCGAAATCTCCATTCTTCCGCGCATCGAGAGTCGCTAGGAGAGTGCAAGGGCCTTCAGCGATGGATGACCACCAAGGCCGTAGCATTCCATATATCATCCCAAGATCATAGCCTTTGCCGATCAATGATTCCAAAACGCTCTCCAGGCCCGGCGAAGCTTCAAACGAATGCCCAGTACCAAGGATCTCATTGAGTTTGGTCAGGAGCAAGCCGGGATCACCTATTCGTCGATCTGCTAACACCGAAGGTATGCACTTTCTACCTTGATGACTGCGCTGCAGCTCGATCAGGTTTGTCGCTTGGGCACACGACAGGTTGAAAGGGGGACAAGCTGATATCAATTCTGATACAGGGCATAAATGTGGTATTCAATGTTACAGATACACTTTGGATTCCTCACCGGACTGATCGGACTGAGGTAAAACAAGACCCATCCTGACCGCCCAATCCCTTCGGCCACCGTGTAACTCAATCATCTCATGTGCCATATCCAACCGACGCGCGTACCGCTTTGGCAATCCGTGTTGAGAAATGGTGCGATTGAACATACAAAAGTCCGCCGTTGTTGCGTTGCACAACCCAAGGAGTGCGGCAGAAGAGAGAAGGAGGATGGCGATGACCAGGTTTCCAATGGTAGTAGAGTTTGCCGCGAGGGCGGCAGCTGCGTACACGGAGAGCGTCGCGGCCGCGACTGCAAAACCTTCACCGGGGGTGAGGTCGCGTACCCACTGACCAGAAGTGATCAGTTTGAGGTCGTCTACTTTGCCGCGCAGCCTAACCCAGCGATCCTGACTGAGGAGAACCAGCAGGTCGCCTGGGACGCCTGGTTCCTGTTTGCCTTTCCAATCCGGAATGGCTCTCCGTCTGAACACCATTACGTTGATGGCCCTCGCCAAAACAAGCATAGACAGGACACCAACTGCCCAGTAGTCGCCGATGGAAATGAGGAACGCGAAAGAGACGGCTGTGCAGAGTATACCCATCGCATAAAGGATGACGGGCAAGTCAACAACTGCTGCGATCGCGGATCGAATGCGCCGGCGGATGAGGGCTCGGAGCGCTCTGTCACGTCGCGTTGGATGGATGGCCTGCGGGGTATCCTGTACTCGCGCTTCGACGAGATGGCCAGGACGGCCAATGCGCTGCAACCAGAAAACCGTCGCCGGGTTCTCGATTCGAAAAACGAAACCACTGTGCATCGCACCAGCGGCAGGTAGTTCACCGCCGCTCACAGTAGGCGCGTCCTGTTGCCTGTGTAATCCTGGCGCGATGAAGAAGATGTCCATAATCCATGGGGTGCCACTGAGAGCCGTCCGCTGAGAGACAGTCTGCAGGTCGGCGAGTGCGATGAGGCCGGCTGAATCAAGTGAAGTATTGCTGATGTAGTCTCTGATGTTCTGCATGGACATGAAGACAGTGAGGGGCTGTACGACTCTGAGGATGCTTGTCGGTGGTGGTATGCGTCAAGGAGGGGAGGAAGGGCGGATGTCGGAGTTTCGCATTTTATATTCCCAGTCATAGCATCGCATCCTAGGATTCCCAAGGTATGACCTAGGCTGACCAAACCCAGATACGACCAGGCGCTTTCGTGGTACCATATTGGGTACGACTGTAGCCTTCCGAATGTCAGGAGGTGTCATCAGATACAAAGCCGAATCCCTCAAGCCGCTCACAGAAGCTCGAGTGTTACAGATACGAATACGTTTCCGCTCTCGCGGCCCGTACGTGAGCGTCAGGTGCCATTCTGATGGAAGAATCAGTATCTACATGGGTAGCGAACTCTCAAAAGTATGCTTACCACTCACGATTGATGTCAAAGGGCATCATACAAGGTAGAGCAACGACAGAGGAGGACACCACTCGACGCATACTTGGATGAACGTAATATGAAAGTTCCGACCTTGGTGCAACAAGGTGCTCCAAGCTTCGGAGTGTAAAAAGTACGCGCCGCAATGCTACCGGAGATGGATGTCGCTGCCATCGCCGCTGTCATCCATGGGAAGCGCAGAAGCGGATGTCTGCCGAGTACGATAGCTCCATGTGTGTACTTTGGCCAGTACCGTCACCTCGCATACATGGGCACTGTCTGTCTACCGGGATGAAGGCGACGATCGACTACTCGACGCGTTATCCCGCATGTCTGTTGGGAGACGTCAGGACAGAGCGCAAAGCACCAGTGTAGAGCAGTTCATCCTCAGGTTCCGACATCTCCCCATCAACTCAACATACGGTATACCCACAGGTACATAATTGTCCCGGAAGTACCACAAGGGAGCGGTTGGCCAGTGTCAAACGTTCGCAGGGGCTGCACCGATTCGGGCGATTTCTGGTTTGTCCCGGTACTTGTATGTATGAGCATACTACATGCAGTCGTCTGGAATCCGGCTGCAAGTAGATGAGGTGGCTTGTATCCGGTATCGTCGGGGTTGAGGTTGAGCGCTTCAGCGCTTCGGCGCAAGCGTCATGGTGCCGGCGAGCGGCGCCGCCGCATAAGCGCTAAGCGCTAAGCCAAGGGGGACCGTTGAATAACTGCCGGCACGGACCCACCCCGTCGTCTGGCATTTGCCGAAGCACGTTGATCGCTTCGGCGTGATGCCCGCGGATGC